GCCGAGGGCCTCAGACGGCTGTGGCTGTGGCGAGTTCTGAGAGTTGATGAGCCCTCGGCTTTGGCTCCCCAGGCTGTGGGAGGGCGGTGTGGTGGGAGGGAGAGGTCACTGGGCTCGGGACTAGAAGGACTGGGCTCTAGTCCAGACTCTGTCCTGACTGGCTGTGTGTCCTTGAGCAAGTCACTTAAGATCTCTGAACCTCCGTTTCCTCCCCACTGATACGAGAGTATCCAGGTGCTGACGCTGGGCGAATACATCGCTCTCCTCCATCTCAGTGGGGGTGGAAAGCGGTTTGGTGACAGGAAGGAAGACCAGGGCCTCAAGCTGCAGAGCACCCAGCGGCCAGGTCGATGACGTCACAGAGTGAGCCCCTTTAATACAAGGGCGGCTCCGGTCGTTTAAACATTTATTTCACTGAAACAACCTTTGGGGGAGGTATTTAAAATGCACAGTGATATATACACCTGTGGAGCCATCACTCCTGTCAGGACACAGGCATTTAGGGGGAGGGAGCAGCACTTAGCGTGCGCGAGGTCCTGGGTTCAGTCCCCGCTACCTCCTCTTAGAAAAAAAAAAGACACAGACATTTCTCTCACCCAAAAAAGTTGTGTCTTCTTGCAGACAGCCCCACCCCACCCCACCTGGACCCGGCCGCCCGCCTCTCACACGGGTCCCTTGTGTGGACGCACGCTGTCACCCAGCTAAAGGCCAGGAGCAGCGCTAGCAGGCTGTACGGCAGGTCCTCTCTCACTTGTACAATTTTTAATTGAGGTGAAATTTGCCATTTTAACCATTTTCAAGTGCGCAGTTCAAGGGTTTTAGGGCACTGTGCTGCTGTCGCCCCCCCCCATTCTAGAACATTCCCAGCACCTCAGAGGGGACCCTGCACCCGCTGGCAGTGCCGCGGTTCCATCCTGCCCTCAGCCCCGCAAGCGCCGGCCTGCTTCCTGTCTCTGCTGCCCTCCGGGTGTTCCCTGTAAGTGGAGCCGCACGTGAGCCTCCGAGTCAGGCCGCTTCCCTCAGCATCAGGGTCTTACGGTTTGCTGGTGCTGTGGCGGGAGCCCCACTGTGTCCCTTCTGCGGCTGAGCCACGCTCCAGGCGTGGATGGACCGCGTTTCGGTTTCTGTTCACCAGGCAGCTGCCCGGAGGGTATTCCCACCTTTTGGCCGCTGTGAATGAGGCTGCTCTGAACATTTGTGTCCAGGTATTTGTTTTCAGTCCCAGGAGTGCAAAAGCGGGGTCACATGGTAGCCCTGCATTTAACTTTTGGGAGACCCGTCAAACTGTTCCCCACAGCGGCTGCACCGTCCTGCATTCCCACCGGCGCTGCAGGAGAGTTCTAGTTCCTCCACTTTCCTGCCAACATTTATTACTTTCCTTAAACAAACAAACAAGCAGGATACAGCCACCCTAGCGGGTGTGGTGAGGGGGGTCTCACTGTGGGTTTGATCTGCGTTTCCTTGGTGGCATTGCGCGTACTTTCACGTGCCTGTTGGCTGTTTCTATGTCTTTGGAGAAATGTCCCTTCAGGTCCTCTGCCCATTCTGAGGGTTAGTTGTCTGCCTCTTTGTCGCTGAGCTGTAGGCGTTCTTCTGAACTCTGAACATTAGGCCTTTACCGACCACGTACTTTGCAAATCTTTTTTCTTACTCAGGGTTGCCTGTGTCTTTTTCAAATTTTTTTTCTAGCAGAGGCACTGGGGATTGAACCAGGGCCTCGTCCCGGCTGAGCACGCGCTCTGCCACTGAGCTGGCCCCTCCCTGAGTTGCCATGAATGTTCTTTGGGGCACAAACATGTTTAGTTTCAATGAAGTCCAATTTCTCTATTTTTCCTTTTGTTGCCTGTGCTTCTGGTGTCATTTCCAAGAAATCTTTACCGAATCTAATTCCATGAAGATGTTTGCTTGGTGTTCCAGGAGTTTTGTAGGCTTTACTTTTACATTTCGGACTTGTGTCCATGTTGAGGTGGTATTTATTACAGTGCGAGGTAAGGGGCCAATCTAAGTATTTTGTGTGGATATCCTATTGTCCAGACCTGTTTGGGTTTGCTTGCGGCCTCTGAATCTCTTCCTTTGGTCTCTGTGTCTTTCCACGTGCCAGGACCACACTGTTTGGGTGACTGTTGCTTTGTAGTAAGTTTTGAAACCAGGAAGTGTGAGTGAGACCTCCAATTCTGTTCTTTCTCAAGATTGTTTTGGCTGCTCAGGGTCCCCTGTAAGCCCATACAAATTTTAGGATCAGCTTTTCCTTTTCTAAAAAAAAGGCCATTGGGACTTGGGCGAGGATTTCACTGACTCTGTTTATTGTTTGGGGCACGTTAACAATATTAAGACTTTCAGTCTATAAACAAGGTGCCTTTCCATGTATCTACGTCTTCTTTAATTTCTTTCAGCGATGTTTTGTAGTTTTCAGCGTACAGTTCCTTCACCTCCTTGGTTGATTTTATCCCGAGCTGTACTCTTCTTTTGCATGCCACTGTAAGTGGAATCATTCCTTTCCGACTGTTCATTGCTGGTGTATAGAAGTACAGCTGATTTTTGCGTGCTGATTCTGCACCTGGCAACTTTGCTAAAATTGTTTATTAGCACTAGTAGTTATTCAGCGGCTTCTTTGAATTCTCCATGTGTAAGATCATGTCGTCTGTGAACAGAGTTCTGCTTCTTCCTTTCCAGTTTATAGATTGTTTTGTTTTGTTTTGTTTTCTGGGTATTTCTGCTTGATCACTCTGGCAAGAATTCCAGAGCCATGTTGAAGAGCAGTGCTGAAAGCAGGCACCCCTGCCTTGTTCCTGTCCTGGGAGAAGCTCTCCGTCTTTCCCCACCGAGCAGATGTCGGCTGTGGGCTTTTCATAAACGTCCTTCCTCACACTGAGAAGTTTCCTCTATTGCCAGTTGGTGCGTTTTTTACCATAAGGGGTGTTGGCTCTTGTCAGTTGAGAAGATCTTGTGACTTTTTCCCTTCATTCCAGTACTGTGGTGTATTACACTGATTGATGAGACAGCTCTGATTTTTCCAGGAGAAGCTGGAAATCTGAATTCCGATGGGAAATCTTACTTTCAAATGTTGACATGCATTTAAAACCTTGCACAGGCCAAATCAGAGAGCCAGATTGGCTCTGGGGCCACCAGTTTGAAATCCCTGATCAAGGAACTTAAAAAGTCGTTCCTTTGACTTAGGAATTCCACTTCCAGGGATCTATCCAGAAGAAGTAATCTCCAATGTGGGCAAAGCTTTAAACCTACCCTTGAGTGTCATTTTTAAAGCCCAAGTTGGAGATCGCCTGAGAGTGCCATGTTCGCCAGGGAACCAGGGTTTTGCAGGCACTTTGGGTGGTTTTAAAGAAGACTGGGGCGCCATCAACAGACACAGCTCGGTATAACCATAATTGTCGTCTGCTTTGAGCGAATGTTTTTTTTCCTTATGCCAGGAGGCAGAGGGGCTGCCCAGAGCCTCCCTGCTGTCTGGGTTAGGTTGTTCAACAGTTGGTCACCCCCACCCCCACCCCCATGTCCAGATGCAGCACAATGTGCTGACGTAACTTTTCGTTTTCCTTTTTGGCACTTTCCACATTTGATTTTCATTTGAAAACATTTTAATCTCAGAAGCACGTTTCCATATACCAGTTTCCCTTTGGCTGATCCACACCCGTCTGCCCATTGGTCTTACAGAGGAAGTGCTTTGGGCCGAAATCCCTGCCCCTGCCCAAAGCATCCCCATCCTTTGCATGCACTAGAAGCAAAACAGTCTTGAATGTGGTGTTGGCATTGCTGGCTGGCAGGATTAACCGCCACGGACGACAGCATTCACCGTGTGCTGCTTTAACCATTGAAGCTGTAGCCTTTCACTACACAGCTTGGGTCAAAGCGGACCTTCTTGAAATTTATGTCCGAGCTACAGGGATCTGATGGTTCTCTCCGTGGGTTCACCCTGTAAAACCTGAATTCCATTGTGGGTATTCCAGGTCTAGACCTCCATGAAGGTGCCTTGAACACTGCCCGGGGGACCATCCCACGGTGCTGCGTAGGGTGGAACAGGTTGTGGTTCTGGGGCTCTGATTCAGTGTGACGCTACCGCGCCCCGTGCGCTGCCGGCAGAGGGCAGGCGCTGATCTGGGTGGACTCGGGAGCCCACCTGGAGGAGGCAGCATCAGAGGAGGCCTCGAGCAGAGTTCAACAGTGTGCACCCAGTTTCCTCTCCCCTGTCCACTGGAGATGGGGCCTTTGTAGACACGGTCAAGTTGAGGCCACACTGGATCCAGTGGTTAGTGCCCTCACCGGGGGAGGGAAGTGTGGACACAGGCACACAGGCAGGCGCCCTGTGAAGAGGGGCCGAGGCTGGGCCCCGGAGGCCCGGCCACCGCCCCCGGGGAGCTGGGGGGCAAGCAACCACACCCCGCTCCCCGCCAGCTTCCGGAGGGGCGGGGCGGGCC